TTTAGAAAAAAAAAATAAATAATGGAAATGTAATTTTTTTTTTTTTTTTTTTTTTTCCGACATTTTTTTTTTTTTTTTTTACGTAAAGTGTGTGCATGTATATTGAGTTGTATCCTGTGATTTCATTTGTGTGTGAAATGGGTGATAAATTGGCCAGACTAAAAGCACATATGTATGTACACGTGTACCGCATAACCAATGTGTCGTATACACATGTACACACCTCACATCCACGTCTACGTGTATATTTTCCCCGCGAAATGTTTGTTTTGTCCTAACACCTGATGCAAAATGGAGAAATATGCAGCTCCCTGTGCAGCGGAAAAACGACAGGGCGAATATTCGCCATTTGTAGAGTGATTAAAACTCGCACATGTGCCAAATACATACACATCGCAGTTGTACACAACTCTCAGTGGGGCAGAAATAAATCGCACTTTTTGTGTGCAATAGGTTATTTTTGCTTCGCCTCCCAACATTTCGCGCCGTTGCGTTTTCGCTACATTTCGCATCGCCTTACTTTCTCCTCCATTGCTTCCCCATTTTGCCGCTATCTTTTGCGCTTCCCAAAGATGCCAACACGCTTAAGAGGAATGATCCCCACGTCGTATTGTTGCTGTGCGTTTTTTTTCCTCCCATTTTTGAAAATTGGCATATTTGATGCGCACTGATTTTTTTTTTTTCTTTTTTTTAAACATCATCAAGAGGCAACACACAGGAAAACATCTCGCCGCATCGCTACTCATCGAGTTAGAAAAACAACGTTAATTTGGAACTCTCCTTTTTTCGTTATATTATTTTTACCGGTTTTTTGCCCCTTTTGCAACAAAAAAAAAAATTTAACCATTTTGTAAAATTCGCGCATGTCCAAATGTCACTCCTTCATTGGCAACGATGAGGCATTGCTGTTGCCAAAATGGGAGGGAAAAAAATAATAATAATAATAATAAAATAACATGGACAAACACAAACCATAAAAAAACACCTTTAAAAATTACCTCATTTTAAGGTAGCCATTTTTCAAATAAAATTTAATTTAATCGGTCATCACGATGCACATGTTACCAATTATACATTGGCAAAAGAATTCACCCACCATGGTCCCTTTCTTACAACCTGTGTAAGCCAATCGCGCAAATTTTTTGTTGTAGATTTGTCCTCTCAACTGTCCAGTGTGTGCGTAGAAAGACGCTCTTCCCGTTCGCGCATGCATGATGTTGTGTAAGTGCATGTCCGTAACAACGCGTTGCATACACGTTATTACTGCCCACACATTGGAGGTGCGAACCAAAGCAATTTGCCCATCGCGTGGGCACCCTGCACTTTTACCCGTTAAGAACGAATATCGACAAAGATATGCTAAAGTAACGCCCAAGGACCAGTGCAGTGGGTACGATGAAGTACAAGTCGCATTTTTGTCCAGGCAAACGAAAAGTTTACCCGCATCATCATACCCGCCACCAGCAGCGCAATTTTACAAAATCGACCCAAATATGAGCCTTCCAAAAGGTAGAACAGGCTGCTTCCATTTTTCATGAGCTCTTTTCTCCCACAAATGACGATGCGTTTTGGTGACCTCTTCTCTGCCCTGTTTATCACTTATCTGCCGCAACGAACACATCCCTCACGTAACGTTGGGACGTACCATTTGTCAAAAACGTTAGAGGCATAAAAATCCCCCCCGCGTCTGCGCCATGCCTTTATCTCCTTGCGACACATGTGTCTTTGTGCCCCCTCCGTTTGACATTTCTCACCAAATTTGAAAAATGCACCATTTTGTTGTTTACACATAAAAAAAAGGGGAAAGGAAGAAGTGAGTCTAGCGGAGGATGCGTCCGGTGAAAAAATGCGAGAGAGGAGAAACGACTCATTTATGCATGTGCAGGGAATGAACTAAACAATTGACAACTGTATCAAATTATCTCATAAAAAGGAGAAAAAAAAAAAAAAAAAAAACACACACACACAGGCATACGCATAGGTGTACGTATAGGCATAGGCACAGGCACATATGTACGCATGCCTGCTTAGCACCGAAATACTACGACAAGGGGTGGAAATAAAAAAAAATGCATACTAACTCCTTCCCCTCATATGAGGGAAGAAAAAGAGGTGGGCGCGTGGACGTATGTGCACGCCTACACAAGCTTGCGTTCGTGTGTATATTTCTCCTCACGAACACACACAAATGGGCCAACATCGAAATGGTCGTATAATGGATGTAAAGAACAGATGAAAAAAAGTGTTACAAAAATATGCCAACGCTAATGCAAGGGAGGTGGGGGAGGTGAAAAATAACAAACGGGTATTAATTTTGAAACAATTTTTTTTTTTTTTTTTTTGGTTTATTGCAAAGGTGAATGGTGAACCATAGGATACAGCTTGCCACAAATGCGAACACACCTACAGCATATAACAGCAACGAAAGGACAAAATAAAAGGCAGATATGAAATGACACATCTCACCTTAACAGAAAAGCAAGCAAAAGGAGACAAATTCGTACATACTTCCCTACCCCGCTAAATCGTTAAAGAAAATGAACTCAGTACTCGTCTTTCTTATTGCAATCCCTTCTGTGCACAAAGCTTCTGCCACCTTTGGCGTGAACCCCCCTTCGATCTCCATCATGAAGTGTTGTAAAGTGCTTTACGTATTCGAAGCTGTCATAACCAGAGGAACTATCAGCAGAGTATTCGTCTCCCTCGTCATATGTATTTTTTTGTGACGCCTCTGAGCTGTGCAAAAGGTTGTGTGGATTGAGCAGATGGTTGGGCTGTTCAATACTGTACTCCTCATACAGGAAAGTAGTTCCGTATTGTGTATTCACTCCGTCTTCATCACGCCTTGTGTGTTTTGTCCAGTCATGCATTGCTTCATGTGTCCATTGTGCTGGACTTCTCTCCTCACTGTCGTCCCACAGGTTGTGGATATTCTGCATTTCGATGGCTGGATGACCCACTTTGAAATTCTTCCAAAACGGTACAGATGGTTTACCCCCTCCACGCTGCTCAGTTTTTCCATTTCTCCTCCTGTGCAGTAGGGCATGGTCCACCCCATCGGTACGGCACAAATGGGTAGGGACATCCCCACAGAGTGCACCCATCAAGTTGTCACCGCTTTGCTTGTCACCGCTTTGCTTGTCACCGCAGTGCATCTCCCCACTTTGCCTCTCCCCGCTTGGCTCATCATCGCTGCGCAATTCATCGACTGACCAATCGAACTCCCTCTTATGTTTGGCAGACGGCATGAAGAGCGGATTCCTGATTTCCTTAGGAGGGCAGGAGTAGTCGTATGGCTTATTCCTATTCGCCTTCAAGTTACTCGTGTCCATAATATTGAGCGGAGCAGTGAAGCCGACCTTCTGCGTGGGCAGTCTGTAAGATATGCTTAGCAGTCTCAATTGCAAAATGATAAAATCGTAAATGTCTGTCCTCAATTCAAAAACTTTCCTCCAGTTCCCCCACCCTTCAACGCACTTGATCCAAAAACTGATTTCGTAAAAATGCCCCGGCTGTAGTGAGTAGCCAAAATATAAATTTTTCGTTTTGCAAAAATCGCTGGGTCTACTATCGACCAAGAACTGTAAGCTTTTCCTGAGCTCCTTAAGTGCAAGCAGAGGAGTGTTAATGTCAACCTTGAAGGATATGTCAATATAAGCATTTTTGGATCTACTTTCATTGTATATTTTGGCATTACTCAATTTTGAATTTTCGTATATAACGATTTTTCCTGTGGTTGTTTCGAACTCTGTTGTATATGTTTTTATCTTCTTAATATACATGGCTTCTCCCCCATCGAGTCTTATACGATCTCCTATATTGTATGGATTCGAGAAGGCAATAAAAATGACTGAGGTGATAAAGCTTGTGTACATATAGCTTAGAATAACTGTTACGGCTGTTATGAACGCAGCCCCTGTCACAATGATAGTGTCGACGGATACTCCAAAAATGAATAAGAGAACGACAGATGCCAAGAAGGAAAGAAGAATAGACATTAATCTACGAACCAATTTAAGAATACTTTCTTGTCCCTTTAAACTTTTTATGAATTTTTTTCTACACGATATAGCTCTCTTTATTGCATTCCTAAACATGAGCATGTCAATTTTCCCATGCCCAGATAAATCAAACTCCTTCATGAACTCTTCCGTCTCTTCTGGCTTCAAAAAAACTTCAATCATTTCTTTTGTTATGAATTCATTTCCATTTATACTCATCTGCATGGGACTCCTCACATTCATAACAAAGGGGTCGTCAATCTCGAGAGAAATATCTTTCTTTATTCTGCTGAATCGTCCTTTTTTATTTTTCTTAAAGCATAAAAATGGGCACAATTTGGTTTTCCTATTCTCCTTCAGCTTTTTTACGTTGATTGCATCGCTTCTCTCCAGCACATTCAATTCTTCGTTCAAGAGATGCGAATGGTAGTACTGTGCGTTTTTGTTTGTAGACCCGTTGTTTTTCATTTTCTTACTTAATTTAATGGACTCCTTTATTTTATTGTTTGTTTTTTTTTTCCTATCCCCGAATAGCTGGTACGATGAGTTCACTTCTCTCGTGTACGACTCCTTATTGCTTTCGTCACTGGAGATGTTCAGTGTGGTGTTTCGCTTCGCTGGCCCATTTTGTAAAGGCGCGCCCACGGTGTGCTCCCTGTCCAGCCGGTGGGCCGCGTTCCCTACCTCGATGTCGCGCGGGGCGGCCCGGTCTACACACACTTCTTCCTCTTCAGTTGAGAGCGGCACCCCCTTTTCGCACGGGCCTCTCCCAATCTCGCACTTATGCATCGAGTCCATGGTGTACTTCTTCTGCAGGACGTCCTCGATAGTGAAGTCCTTTATCTGCACCTGCATGCTGTTGTAGTTTTCCAGCGGCGGGTAATACGGCCCGTCCTGTGCGCCCTTCAAATCGTCATAGAGCGCGTTGACGTCACCGTTTGCACTTCCCACGTGGTCCTTCTTCTCGCTCGCCATTTCCTGAATGCCAGACAGGGATGGCGTGATGCAGATGTTGAACTTTGTGCCTTCCAAAATGGACGTGTCTTTTTTGGTGATGTTTGGCTCCTCGTCCTGTCCTCTGATCGAGGAGGAGGGATGAATCACCTCTCCCTTGCCGGTACGACCATTTCGTGCTTCTCTCTCTAGATTCTCCTGCACGGTGTCCTTCCTGAGCGACGAGGCATTCCCACCCCGTCCGTCATGCGGTTTGCCATTCGCTTCGTCATCCGATGGGTGATGGTGATGTTGCCGCCGTGGCACCCCCCCGTCGCTCACTTTGACACTTTTAATTTGTTGCACACGGGGAGAAGCACCTGAACTTACACCATCCAAGTGCACCGCTTGTGGCTCCCCCCTCCTGTCGCTGCTCATTTCGATCGTGTCGCTGACCGCGGAGGACGTCCTCCTGTCCGCCGTTTGGCTCCCACCGCCACGTTCTGACACTCCCGATTTGCCCCTCCTCCTTTGAGCCACGTTGCTACCATTCCTGGATCCGCGCTTTGCCTTGGGTTTCTGCTTGGCCCGACTTTTTGTCTTGACCAAGGATCGTGACTCGTTAATCCCCATTGCAGAATTCGTCTGACGCGCTACCACAACGCCCCCCTTTCCCGCTTCCTCCTGAGCAGCCTCCATCCGGATAGCATCCAAATCAATGTCGTTGAAAATGTTCTCTAAGTTTATTTTCTTCTTCGCTCTAGATTCTGAATCGGAGTTGGTCACAAGATTTTTGGGGCTAAAAGGGAAGGGACCTTGCGAAGGAGTTAAATTAGAATCCCTGTTCAAATTCAAAGTCATTAAATTTCTATTAGGGGAAAATTCATCAGAGGACATATTATGCATGGCGGATCCAGTGAAGGCATACGTGTCGTTTTTCTCCTGGTAGTACATTTTCAAGGACATGATGATTTGCCTGAACAGTACATCAGAACCAATTTTAACTGAATTTTTATTAATCATGGGTATGCTATTATTTAAAAGAAAAATTAAAGGAGGTGTATTCACCACATAATGACAGGCTAACCAGTTTTTAATGGTCGAGCTTTCTGTCTTCACAATATTTTTTGCTTCAAAAATTGGAGGCACTAGCAGTTTCATAGCATTTTTTTTTTTATTTCTATTTAGAGCAATTTTACAACAAGTACAATTACGAGGCAAATTTTTAAAAAGTAACAACTCCGCTTTATCCTGCACAAACTTCTTACTAATGTCATTTGTTTCTAACTGTTTAATCATTTTTTCATCCTGATATAATTCGTAGCCAAAGAGGGATCGAATATTTTCCTGCTTGTCTGCCATGAACATAAACCATTCAATGTTAAATTTGCGGAGTATACCATACTTGGACAAATATTTCCCTAACAGGTCATGGGCATTCATTAAGAAACCCAGCTCAAATACAAAAGATATAATGGACAGGAAAAGCAACCTCGCTGCAAATACAATGTATAATAGTATTGGGAAGGTGATTAACCAACTGATGCTATTCAAAAATGTAAATGGGTTGTCTTGGTCTTTATAACCAAAAATACGAAGAACAAAATAATTTTCACTTTCCTGAGCTCCCTTTTTTAAAATCATGTTACTCCTCCAGTAGATAATCTGAACAGATGACCATAACAGGTACACCAGCTCAGGGTCCACTGTATTGTAAAAAGCTGCACATAGGGCACTTGGTTGTAAAAGCTTTTCCAAAAACACTTTCTGAATAATCGCATGGATGATCATAATTAGAGTGAAGGAAGCTATGTTCACACCCAGGATGAGGAAGCAACAGTAGATACTGCCATAAATAAAGGTCCTATTATATTTGGGTTCAGCTATGGGGTCGTGTAAATTTGGCTCTGATAATGTACTTAAACTTACACAAAGAACAATCAAGTTCATAATAAAGTGAATTATAAACCATAACCCTGGGGACAGGTCAGGATATATTATGGACAAAATGCGCAGGATAATATCTCCTAATGTTTCACTCTCATTTTCGTCCTCTTCTTCTTCATCGTCTTGTAGAAACTGTGGGTTGTAAGATGATTTCTGAATGTACAAATTCAGGGCGTTGATTCTGTCTTGCCTGTTCATATACGACCTTGACATATCCATCATTAGTGACTGCGGGTATTTTGTCTTCGACCCGCTCTTGTAGTTTTCTTCCTTCGTCTCGCTCATCTTGTTCGTCCCTCTGTGTGTTCATCGGGTTCCCCTCCACCTTGTCCCCTTGTATCATATAATATGTGCTCTCTTTACACGGACAGCCGACAGTCAGGGAGGGCGAAAAGGGAAGGATTACTCTCCTCGCCCAGCCGTGAGACATCTATTTAGGCTGTCCGCTCACCCACGTGACCTGTACACCTCCCCACCCCCACACACAAACACAATCACAAGCACAATCACAATCACAAACACAAACACACCGGATCTGTCTCTCCTATATTATCGCGCTCCCTTCTCACACTTGTGAAGATTGAAAGTTGTCATGTAATTAGCTCCCTCCGATTGTTCTCCAACTTTCTCCACATATCTATACGGTACTCTCTTCGGAGTTGCGCAAAGGTGCCAACGCGCAAGCGTATACATGAATATGTGAACTTACTCATCCTACGCACACATCTCCCTCAGAAATTTCTCTCCTCGCGATGCCTTGCTCTCTTCAGGTGCGCGTTTTTTTTTTTTTTTTTTTTTTTTTTTTTTCTGTCTCCGATCAGTGTAATGGCGCTTTCACAAAAATTAAAACTTTTTTAAAAATCAACAAAGGGAAGTGTGTGGGGGGAATTTTAGACAAACAATTTGTTTCACCATGGGAAGGGGGCAACTCCGGTTAGCTTCCATTCAGTGTGTGTAAAAAAGAAAAAAAAAAAATGATATCAAATGATGTAAATTCCCTCCCACTCTCTTATAACCATGCGAAGCATTACATATGGGGTACACGCGTGTGTGTGCTCACTCACACAGGGCTCCAGGCACATGTCTATGTGGAGGAAACTGCGCCTATGGACACGCGGCATTAAAGGCCCCGTCACGGGCAACATATGGCGAGTTAGGGCTTCCAATCCGCAGGGTCCCCTACTTGGTATTCACTTGCACGGCAGAGTTACGCATACAGAGATAATATACATGCACATGTGAATGAGCATGCGAATGTCCTCTGCGCGATGTATATACGTATGAGTTCACTCATTTGCCTCTCCCCATGTTGGTCGCTCTACATGAAACGCTACTTGTGGACGTCTTTTCCGCGACAGCCCCCCCGCGCACGTGGCCGTAAAAACCACGTCACCCGTGAACGCCCAAAAGAAGGGATGACATAGGTCTAACAAACCGATTTAACAGTATATCAGCCAAGTTTAAAAAAAAAAGTAACAATTTTTGTTTCAATTAAAAAGTGGAAACAATATTGACAGATTTAAAAAAAGAACAACCAGTTGTTTATCACCCTGTAACGGCGTATTTGCGTAAAGCTATATTACTTTAAAACGTTTCGTGGGCACCTACATGGGAAGAATTATGAGGCAAAAAAAGTCCACTCACGTAAAATGCACCCCTTTGAAAAATATGCCCAGTTGCAAAGAGCGAAAAAAAAAAAAAAAAAAAACAAAAAAAACACCTGTGCACACGTTTTAGTAAGCCAAGCGACATGCACAACGTAAAAGCTGCAGAACAAAAAAAAACAAAAAAAAAAAAAAAAACGACGGTATAAAGAAAACAAGGACAAACAAACTGCGTGCGAATGTACATATATGTGGCACATAAAGGAGGTGAACCAAAAAGTGCTAAGAAATAAATCTTACATCAAATTGTTGCAACACAAGTTTTCGTGCTGATCTGTATAGCTACACCGAGTGTGGTGCCTGTCCCTACCAAGGTTTTTTTTTTTTTTTTTTTTTTTTTTTTTTTTTGGCGAGGATATTATAATGTATTTAGCGGCCTATCGGTGGTTACTCATATGGACAAATTGTTTTCCCAAAATGTGTAAAGGCAAAATTGTGGAGGTCCCCATGTTGAAAAATAAGTCGTACATATGAGTAACCACAAAAGGGGAGACGCGGGGAAGAAAGCCCATTTTGTTATCTGTGTTTTCATCGTATGTATGTGCCCTTGTGAACTCTTCGTTTTTTTAATGTTATAAAAATTTCCAACTTGTAAACCCCCTCCATACATTTGCCCGAAACATTACGCAGTGTTATTTATGTATAGACCTTCATAACAGACATGTCTGTCTTATGTGAGGGAGGATAAGTTGTCCACCTTCCCCCCCAGGAAACACTTATATGCTTATGTGCACACATTCGAGCAGTACACCCAGGTGGGCAAAACGAGACAATTTGCACATTATCTTCCCCCTAACCCTTTACAATGCTCAAGTGTCGAAGGGTGCAAACCAGGCCACAAACATATCTCTACTCTTATGCAAAACTGGCCAGCACGCAAATGTGCGTATAAATACCGGCATACTATTATACGTGTACGTTTCAACAGAGGTGTTGTGGATGACAGCTTCATATTTGCCCCCATGAAGGGAAAAAATAGTTCCCCTTATTATACTCACGTTGCGTTCATTCGAAATAAAAAAAAAAAAAAAAGGTGGAAGGGACATGCCTTCTTTCCACGAATTGGGTGGGAAGGTCAACCAGGCTGCACACTTATAAAAATGAGCAGGCGAACATATATTATGAGTTATGCGTTTACACATTCCACCGCAACCGAGTAAGTGACGCAGAACCGTGATGTTCAATTAGCGGTTTTGAAGGATGTCCCATTGTATGTACCTGTCTTTAACTCCACTCTTTTGTGATACCCCCCCCTTTTAGGGATGTTTCCCTGAGGCGTGCTAGCTAGGGGTGAGAAAGCTAATTTTTTTTTCATTTTAACAACAATACAAATTTGTCAGGTGGGGGAGGAAACACCTGACAAGGTACTGCGAACCTTAGCCGTAAATTCACCCACCTATATTGTTTGGCCACTTGACGGGCACATTGAGGCGATACATTAAAAAAGGATTTTGTACAAAGAATGTTAATAAACTCAGCTGGCAAAAAATTGTTGTGTTTCCCTAAATGTAGAGTCTAAGTGATAGGAGTAAAGGAGCAACACATGAGCAGGTGAGCTGGGTATTGGGGACAGATGGCGTGGTTCAGCACGTGCACACCTTAACGAAGTACATGCGTATACTTATGTATGCGCGACTCGGCTTTTTTGCAATTTTGTGGGGTTCCAATTTTTGCCTTTCAAATGGGCCCTTGTGCCGTTGGGCTAATTTGCAATTTGAGAAATTCTCAACTTCAGCTCACCCATTTTAGCCACACCGCTGCTCCGCCAAACCAGAAACCCTTTCTGCACAAGTTGGAGAAAAATCACAAAAACGTTATCCTGCATGCTGTTTTGCAAAACTCTGCGACAGAAGGCCATCATCGACGCCGACCCATTTTTTATGCGTCCCCGGAGAGGCAACTGTTTTAGCGCGAACTTTACTCCTTTTAAAAAAAAAAAAAAAAAAGTATGAACAGTTCAAAAAAAAAAAAAAAAAAAAAAAAAAATTAAAAAAAAAAAAAAAAAAAAAAAAAAAAAAAAAAATTATAGCTATTTACCTGTCACGTTTATGGTCAGGTAAAAACTTAAAAAAAAAATTCAGAAGAAGATAAAAGTCGTGTGGAACTGCAAGGCCGTGAACCCAGAAAAGAGAATGTAAAAAGGCTAAAAGGGGTTTAAAGAGAGGACGCAAAAAATACGCCCACTAGTTTGAGTAAGCTACGCCGCGGGGGGAACATATTATACAGTACGTACGCACGTGCAAATATACTTGTGTATTTTCTTTGTGCCTGCCGCCACAGGCGAACCCCCTAATTAGAAGCTAACGAATGATGGAAACCGACGCAAGCAGTAACGCCACGGATGAACCCGCGCAAAGCGCGGACTTATTCGAAGATGAAGGCGGCATCGTTGAAAGCAGCAGTGTGGAAGGCGGTAACGTGGAACGTGGTAATAGTGAACATGGCAACGTCGAACGCAGCAACGTCGAGAGCTCCCAAATGAAGATGAAGGCTGCGAAGAGGATGCCGTCCAAGAACAAGAAGAAGAAGAAGAGAGAAATAAAGGACGCTGACTCGGATGAAGAGCAGAACGCTCTGGAGGTGGGAAAAAAACGCAAGAGAAAAGCGAATTCGAAGGCAGACCAACAACTGGATGGGGACCTGGATGAAAAAGATGAAAAGTACCTAAACCAGGAGGACCCAGAAGGACACTCCTCGAATGAGAATAACCCAAACAAGAAGAAAAGGAAATCAAAACTGAAGAAAAAAGGCGACGAAGAAGAAATTAATGAAAGGAATGCCGATTCTGCAGAGGACGAGTTTAACACGAAAGACAATATCTTTGGGGACGAAAACTCTTCTGATGAGAGCCAGAGCAGCGGGGCGGCTCGCAATGATCAGGTTAGTGATGGTGGTGAAGACAGCGCAAGTGGCGACGATCACGACGATGATGATGAAGAGGATGAGGACGACGACGGCGATACCAACAAAAACATCGAAAGGAAAAAAAAAAAAAAAAAGAAAAAGAAAAAGCTGCGCCCCAGCAAGGATAAAAGGACGGACGAAGACGGCAAAAGGAAAAAAGTCAAGTCAGCCTCGAAGAAGAGCAAATTCATAGATAGCGTCGCGGAGGAAGGGGAGGAAGAGAGCGAAGACGACAGTGAGGAGTACGAAGAGGAAGACCTAATCATCGACGACAATGACCAAGGGGAAAAAAAAAAAAAAAAAAAAAATGCCCAGAGCAATGGGAAGTTTTCCACTCTGAGTCTACTGGACGATGAAGGAGATTACGAAGACATAAACGATTCGGGTAAATCTGAAAAAAAAAAAAAATCCCATTTTGATGAAATACTAGAAAATTTAAAGATGAAAAGAAAAAGAGTGCATAAGATTTCCGAAGAGGACGGTCTACAATATTGTGAAAATGTTTTAAACCAAATGATTTTAATGCATGAACAAGATGTAAAAAATATAAAAGAAAAAAAACCAGCAACAGCAAAGTTACAAATAATTGATCAAGTGTGTATGATTCTAACCAAACCAAAATGGAAACCTTTTTTTATGAAATTAAATATTTACCACGTCTTAGCATTATGGCTAATGCCACTCTCGAAAAACGCACTTCCAAATTTTACCATACGAACGAATTTATTAAAGGTGATACAACAGCTCCCCATTACTATTAAATCCTTGAGGGGCAGCCAGCTAGGAAAAATAATGACCTACTTACACACACATAAGGACGAAACTGATGAGAACAAAAAACTGATCAGGACCATTATGCAAAATTGGATGGGACCCATCATAGGCATTAACACAAACTATAAGCAATTTTTAAAAGAAAGACAAAAACGAATTTTAGAAAATCCTGAATATCACAAAAAGGTACTCGAAAAAGCAAAAACTTTAATTCCCGATTCAATTAGCATTGAGAAGGAGGAAGAGCAAAATGAATTGAAGAGACATGCTACCATACCTTTCAACAGTGAATGTTCCTTTTTGATTAACGTGCCCTCCTCCGTGCCCAGCACTAGCAAGAAAATTATGCCCAAAAGTAAAATTAAAAGGCTTACCGATAATATGAAAATGTTGAAGAGGGCTCGAAAGTCGCAGAAGGTTTCCATTGAGGGCAAGGGCGTTGCCATGTAGGCGGAGCCACGCACGCATAATGTGTACGTACATATGTGTATACACCCCGTATGTGTGTAGTGTGTAGCGTGTTCCCCTTCGCTTTTTTAGCCCCCCCTTTAAAGCGTGCCCTTTTGGGCCCAGTAAAATAATGCGCAATCCCCCTGATGGGACTTTTCCGCCGCGTGCATGTAATTCTCACATATGTGTGTTCCCCCCATTTCGGGTGCTACATATCATAGCTTGGAAGTGATTTACATGCTGGGGTAACCCAGTCGTTGTGGCCACTTGGCTCTGACCAAAGCACATCAATCTTACCCTCCTTTGGGGGGCCATTTTTTGTGGTAATTTTTCGCAAGCAGTTTTTATGCCCCCCCCAATTTGAGTCAACCCAAATTTATTTCTTCCACTTTAAGTCCGCTTCATTTTTTTTTTTTTTTTTTTTTTTTGTGTAGAACTGTGCGTAAGGCATCAATCTGATAACTGGCACAACACTACAGTCAAATTAATAAATAAATAAAAATTGCGAAAAAGAGAAAGAAAAAAAAATAACACACCATGGAATGGTATAACATATATATGTACCGTCCTATCCCCATGGCGGTAACTGTAGAAGCAACACGTTGCATATTCGAAATGTGTTCTGGGCGATCCATTTAGCAAAAATAGAAAGAAACAAAATACGAAGCGCTGTTCGCTAAGTGTTATGAGCACGCTGCGCGACTGCAAGAGGAGGGGAAGTGGAGGGCGAACGTCCCGCGGGGACGCGCGCCTGTATTTACAGACTAATATGTACCCACCCTGGCATCTACATCGAGACAATAACTAATGCTTTGAGAACTGGGTGCGACAACTTTACACTTACCCCCACCTCTTCATTGTTGGTATGTGTAGCTGACGCACCGCGGTGGAGCAAAGTGCGGAGGTTCAAAACGTTTCGTCGTTACACGTACAAGCATTGTGCATCTACCACTGGTAAAGAGAGCAAACACATGGGGGTGGGAGCTTCTGGATAAATGTAATCATATGCCACCGCAAGATAAATACCCCCCCCTCTGTGCGCTGACAGAATGACGACACATGCAAAAAAAAAAAAAAAAAAAAAAAAAAAA